TCATATTTGAAAGTTGAGAAACTCAAGAATGAGAAAGAGTTATTTTATAAATGAAAACGTTTCTATGAGAAAGAAAATGATTTCTATGAGAGAGTAAATGAAAATGTTTTCTATAAGAGTAAATGAAAATGTTTCTGAAAAAATATTTAAATTGTTGTAGCAATATAAGTTATTTTTTTATTATCTTTAAAAAATTTTTATTAGATAATATAAAGTTAGTACTATTTGTTATCAATCGATAATCATTTGTAAGTATAAATAATTATGAGTATCCATAATAATTATGAGTATCCAAAATAATTACAAGTATCCATAATAATTACAAGTATCCATAATAATTATGAAATAAATTATATATATTCGAATATCCTTGAATAAATTGATTTTCGAATATTCATAAAAAATTTGATTTTCAGTTAGGAACACTACACCAAGGACAGTTGAGTTTGATTTCTTAGGTAAAAATTCAATAAGATAGATATGTAAACTCAGTAGAAGTAATAGATCAAGTTTTCAAAAACCTTGAAATATTTATGAAAGGATAAGGAATCCAGTGAAGAGTTATTTGACAGATTAATGGTACAAAAATACAAGATTTAAATTTAATAAATCACATATATGTGTGTGCATTTGTGTTTGTTCTATTAATAAATTCAAAAATTCATTTAGGCTCAAGATTTGAATAAACATTTGTCTGAATACATGAAAAGACTAACCATCAAAGTATTTCATACATACAATGCATCTTTTACCTTTCAAATTGAGCTAAATAAAGGGATGGAGAATGCCACTACTGTAACAGAGAAAATGGCAACATATAATAAAGCAAACAGACAGGTTGCTATTTTATGTAACCATCAACATTCTGTCAGCAAAGATCATGATAATCAAATCAATAGAATTGACAATAAGGTAATTTTTTTTTTATCATGATTATTGTTAATTTCTTAAATAAATTCACATGTATGTATTCTTTAATATGTTAGGTTCATGCTTTGAAATACCAAAGAAATAGATGTAAAATGGAATTGTTGAATCTTGTCCCCAGATTAAAAAAGAGCAAGCCTCAACTATTTGAACCAGAATCAGACATGGAAGAGGAATGGATAATTGAGCATGAGAAGCAATTGATGGAAAGGGAACGTTTGGCAGCTATAAAAAAATTTGAAAGAGATAATGAAAAGCTTACAAAAGAAGGAAAGTCACCTAAACCTGATGAGAATCTTAAACAATTATTAAAAAACATTGATGAAAAAGAGAAGGTGTTGAAGTATGAACAAAAATCTGGAAAGGTCAGTCTGAGAAAAGGACAAACAAGTGAAAAACTCCAGATCCAAATAGAAAAATTGACAGAACGTATTAAAACCACCAAGTTATTAAAACAAGATAAAGAGGACAACAAGACAACTGTGTTAGGCACATCAAAAATCCATGATGTGCCGATTGCTAAAATTTTCAACAAGACCCTCCACAAAAAGTTCCAGTGGGTGTTGGACATAGATGTGGATTGGGTGAGTATTTTTTTTTTAATTTTATTAAATAATAATATGTTTAATATATTTAAAATTATTTTTATTATTTTATAGGAATTTTAATCATTGTGCAGTTATTTTTCATTTGGCCGTTTTTTGCTTTGCTATTTTAAACTCATGAATTTGTACATTGTGCTTGGTATTAAATCTCTGCCCGGTGGATGGTTATATTTTTTGTGCCAATAGAAATTTTTTTATAATTTAGATCTGATGATAGTAAGGATTCTATTATCATCATCATTAGCTATATTATTATTATTATTAATTTAGATTATAAATATGAAAGCTACAATTTATATATATACTCATTATAGATATAGAATAAACAGTTAATTATTTTTTAAGAGCTTTAAATAAAAAAAATGTTGATCAACATGTATCTATCGTTGAACACTTTATTTTAAATATTAATACTTTTTTTTGAAACTGCCTGTTAATGACGATAATAATAATAGGTCCTGTGAAGCTTGAGAATTCAAAATATAACATTTATATTTATATATAAAAGTCAAAAAATCAAATTATAATACAATAATAAATAATCATAAGTCATGAATAATACAATAAATAAGTATAATGCTAAATAATGATATCACATGAAAACACCCATATAACATCAATCTACAGAAACAAGCCACACTTCTAGTTATCATTGTACAAGAAATAGGTTTTCCAGAAGGTTAAATATCTGTATCTGTATCTGATTAAGGTCTTATCAGCTCTTCTAGGGCAGATGTATTAATCACATACTCTCCTAATATTTCTTCTAATTTTAGGATCCTACTTTCTACCCGCCCCATTCTTTCTTTAGTGGAAATTTGTTCTTTGTCAGGTTTAGTTTTTGTGATGAATGGAAGGTCTTTGAAGTCTGCTTTGCGTGCTATTTCCGATTTTGCCACTTTATGCATTAGACCCCTTTTAGAGAAGGTTCATGTTGAAATTAGCTAAACATTTCAGAAAATTGAACAAAATAAACGCTTTCAAAAGCTTACCAAGGATTAATTCTCGGTTGTCCAAAAAACAACATATAAATTCCACCAATCAATCCTAATTCAAAATTGATTAGATATATTCAATCAAGAAGCACCTATCAGATATTTAATATTGCCTTTTTAACTTACCAACAGCACCACCAGCCACCCCCAAAGCCCCAAGAACCGTATATGAACTTATGAGCAGGACAAAGAAAAAAATAGAGATATAATAAAATGTTACAGAAACCAAAATTTCAAATTTTGAAATGAGTTGTCTCATTTACCGTTTTTCAGATTGCACCTCGTGGAGAAAACTTCCCGGAGCAATATTAAAGTGACCTGTAAAGGGGAAGCTGTCGTTTGGATGCATTTGAAAGTATTTTGTCACAGTGGTAAAGAAGGATGTATTATTGTAATTAGGAGGTAGGCCGAGGATTGTGGATACGTCTTCAGGTAAAGTAGACAATGTGGTTTTCTTAAAGTATACCTGAATATTGGTGTAGATTAAATTTAGTGATAATCATCCATGGAAAGATAATTAGCGAATTAAAATAACTGACCAGAGCTGACACATTTTGGATGCCCGCGAACGTATTCATTTGTTCATCTAATCGTTTTTTTACTGGATTTGTCGGTGATAAGTCCTTGAACCCTGTTAAAACATAATTAATGATTACATATTGTATCAGTAAAATCATAAAATATTTCTTGACACAGAAGGTAAAGTACATTAATCACCTTTATCTGATATTCGGCCTGTGATAGTTGCTACAGATAAAAAATGCTCGACAACGGCGGAAATGTTAAGGATTTTGAAATAAAAGTCAATGCTCTTTACCGACAATTCTCCGGGGAGTCTTTTTGAGTCGCTGAAAAAGTAACTATCATCAGCCTTAAGAGTATAGCAATACTTATCCCCATCCTCCTTTGTTATGATTTTTTCAGATTCAAATATTCTACTTTCCGAGCTACAACCATCAGTAGTTTTGTTATTACTCCAATTGAAAATACATTTAGATATTTCGATATCGCTGTTATCGCCACAGAGTTCAATTTCTTTATGAGAATATGAATATAAATAAAAAATCCGTTAGATTGAAATTTTTTTGGAATTTTAACACCTCGCTCACTAACACACCAGGAATGCTGATTTTGTCCAAATACTCATAAGATATTTGTATTAACGGTTTATCAATGACAATTCGATATGCAAGAAATGCCAAGTAGCCTATATAGAGAAGAATTACTGTAATAGCTGTCCCCCATCTTAAACATTGAAACCTCTTTGATTCCGGGAACTGTGAATTAATTAATTATATATAAAGGTGAGTTTTTAAATAAGTATTTTTCATAGAATATAAATCAACTATTTATATTTAAGACTCTTAACTCTTTTCCG